GCTTTATCTTTACAATCCTTAAGGACCTATCCTAAGACTGTCTTCTCACTGTTTTTTAGTTGTGCTCATTCACTTCATAGCTCCCAATGCCATCTGAAATGACAACCTCCCTCGTGTTACCTCCAGTCTAACCCCACACTTAGTGCCAGATTAGAAAGGCAAATATCTCTGACATATTCATGTCAATGTTCTCAGTCACCTCAAATTCAAGAAAGGCAAATGGAACACTTGCTTTTGTCATTGCCAAAGAAACCTACTGGAAACTAGCACAAGTTGGAAAGCAAGGAGCAGCGGTACACACTAGGAGCAGGGGTGTCCTGGTAAGCACTTAGCAACTCAAGCACCAGGAGAAGGCTAGGCAGGAAGTGGGTAGGAGACTCGATTTACTGTGTTTGTCAATTTCCATGGTCTAAAACTCAGACTGCAGCCATTTTTCAGGTACCAATGAGAAGTTGATACATAAAGTTGAAATGCACAGAATCAACCCTTTTAAGTCAAGGGGAGGTGACTTTAGCACACCTTGGCAACAAGGTAAACTTGGTTCATCCCTGCCCTCATGCCTCACTAAATGATCTCCTAAAGCCATTCATCTTTCCTGCTAGACAGCACCTACCCTCTACAGGAGCTTCCCACTGATTACCATACCCACCTATACCCTATCTCAACCATTCTCCACAAAACAGCTAGTGGTGTCTTTCTATCACATGAACCATGTTGCTCGTTTGGCCCAGAAATTCTAAGGGAAATAAAAATAATTTGCCCATACAAAAGTTTGTTCTATTTCCCCAAACAATCTATGAATTCAACAAAACCCTAATGAAAATTTCAACAGCCTTCTTTGAAGAAATGTAAAGTCCAATCCACAAATTTGTATTTCTAAGGAAGGACAAAGGACCAAAGGACCGCAGAACAATCTGGAAAAAAAGGATAAAACAGGAGAGCTTGCACTACGGGATTTTTAACCATAAACTACAATTAAAAAATGTCTGGTGGTGTAACAATAATAAAAAAATAAAGAACATACACGCATGTACTGATAAAATAGAATTGAGAGTCCAGAAATAAACCTACATATCTGTAATGATAATATTGCACCAAGGGTACAAAGGTACCAAATGTGATCAATGAAGAAAGAAGCACCTTTTCAACAAATGGTGCTGGGAATTGGATTTACACACACATACAAGAATAAATGTGGATCCAGAATCTAAGTATAAAAACTAAAACATGAAATTCTTAAGGAAAATGGGATGGGGAAGCTATAAGTCTTGGTTTTTAATGATGGATTATAAAATGTGATAATAAAAGTACCAGCAAAAATAGATTAACAAAACTTCATAAATATTAAATACTTATTGGATCCTTATTGGATATATGCTTTCTGAATATTTTCTCCTGATCTCTTTATTGTTAGTAAAGTCCTTTGAATCAATTACCCAGATACAGATAGAATGTCTACAACACCCATCAACAAAAGAATGGATGGAGAAGCTCTAGTATATTCATACAATGGAATACTATGCAACGCTGAAAAAAAGGAACTAATAAATTATTACAAAACATAGGTGACCCTGGAGGACATTATGCTGAGTGAAATATCTCAGAAAAGGACAAATACTGCATAACACCCCTGTTCTAAAACAGGACTGATATAGGGGTTGAGGGAAACGAAGAAAAAAGTGGATAAAGAATGAACACTGCTTTGGAACAGATGAAAAAAAGAACGGTTTAAAAATATGTGATTAGGAATTATTTGTATGACAACAGTCTAGAATAAGAGGTGCACAGCAAAGTGGACTGGGAGAATGGTAGAGAGAGGGAGAAAATTATGCAACATGAATTAATTTAAAAAGTGAATGGGATGGTAGGAAGGAAAATGTGCAAGTATGAATGAAAATCCAACTTTACTGCAATTTTTCATTAAAATCACAAAAAAGCCTACAACATATCAAAAGATAAACCACTAAAAAAATGGACAGAAGACTTAAAAAGACATTTTATCAAAGAGGATACTCAAATAACCAACAAACACATGAAAAGAAGCTTAATGTTACCTGCTATTCAAAAAACAAATAAAAAAATACTATGATACATACCATCCTTACTAGAATAATGATACAAAGAAAGAAAGAAAGAAAGAAAGAAAAACAATAGGTACTGGCAAGATTGTGGAGAAAATGGAATCCTCATCTATTGCTGGTGAAAATGTAAAATGGTACAGATGCAATGGAAAACAATCTGTTGCTCAAAAAGTTGAACACAGAAATATTATTATATGACCCTGCATGCTTTCACACTCCTAGGTGTATGTAACTAGAACAAATGAAAGTAGTAATACAAACAGAAAACCCTACACCAGGATTCATTGCAGCACTTGTCACAATAGCTAAAATATGGAAACTATATAAATACCCATTTGTGAAAGAATAAAAATTGTGGCATATGCACACAATATCTGTCATAAAAAGAAATGAAATTCTGATGCATACAACTGTGTGAATAGCTGAACTTAGAAAACATTATGCTGAGTGAAACAAGGCACCTACAGATGATAAATACAATATGACCTCACACGAAATATTCATATATAGAAAAAAACAAAGATTAGTGGTTACCAGGAGTGGGAGGGAGAGAGAAGAAGGAGTTTTTACTTAGAGTTTATCTTTCATTATGACTTTCCTAGCTATTGATTCTGACTTGACCATATGGATGGGCAGAAATACGCGAAGAGGGTGTGTTTGCCAATCCACAAAAGGACTGGGAAGTCTCACCATTAAATTGAATGGATACAGCAGCAAAGGGAAGAAACCTCACTGCCAGGAAAAGAGCAAACAAGGGGGTATATGGGCCCAACAGTAGTAGAAACCACAGAGGAGAACCAGAGACCTGACATGAGATGGGACCTTGACACTGCCACACCACTGTAACTAAAGCTAAGAGCTTTAGTTTTGTTGTCAACTGGGGGTGGGGAGAGCAAATACTGGTAGGACTGAGAACTTTGTAATACAGGCCTAAAGCTGCAAGTCTCAAGGCTGAGGTGCCTACAAGCACATTTTAGAAGCTCTCTTAACTGTATTGTTACTAACCTGGATTATAATCTTTTGACTTCTCCAGTATGGCTGTGTATGTGGTCTGTGAGGTACTGCATTGGATTTTGGACCTAGAATAGCAGTTAAGATTGGTGATGAGATGAGCAGAAAGTGGTATTGGAGTTTGCAGGACAGTCTGACCTCAAGGGAATTGGTTTTGTGTCGATGTTGATGGGTACAGTTCCTTTGTGAAGATGGTAAAGGTCAGAAATGGCCATCCTCACATGGCCCATGGTCTTTTATAGGGGTCACTGAGATTTTGTGATTGGTGTTAGAATAATCTAGAAAAGGATATTGAGGATGGTTTCACAACTTGAAGAAGTTAAACAGTACCACAGATGTGTACTTGTGAAAATTGGTCTTTATATTTTGACAATAAAAATAAAAACTTTATTGATAAAAATAAGTGTTGAAGGTCCGCATTTGGCTTGTCAGCCAGTGTGTTGAACCCGGTTGTAGCCACATTATGTCACTCCTCTACTCTCCTTTCATTTAATTTATATCCAGATCCCACTAGCTGCCTGACTTCATCCTTTATCATCCTCTTCTCAGTCATGCTGTTCCACCAAACTCCCCCCTCCTGGCCTTTACAATTGCTGTTCCTCTGCCTGGAGCACCATTATCCCTGCCCAAATGATTCCTCTATCCCTCCTCAGTGGAACATTCCCTGGCCCTGTGACAAAACTGGATACACATCACTTTCCCTGTTGCCTCCATATTGTTGTTGTGTGTCATCCACTCAAAACCGACCAATAGCCGACCCTCTAGCAGTTTACCCCCTCAGAGTCAGTTAATCGCACAGAAGATTGTCCATCTTTCTCCTGTGGAGCAGCTGGTGAACTTGAACAGAGCACCTTTGGGATTGCCACTAGACCATCTGAGCTTTCTAACACTTAGAATCTCCCAACTACTCATGCCTGTGCTGTCTAGCAAGGGAGTTTTCTGGTGGCTTAGTGGTAAGAAGATGCACTGCAGTCCCAAAGGCACATGGTTCATATCCACCAGCTGCTACATCAGAGACTGAGCAATCTGCAATTGACTGTCTCTGAAAACCTTCCTGGAGGGTCAGCTGTAAATTGGTTCGAGTCAATGGCACACCATAAGAACTGTCTCCGTGGGGAGCTCTGGTGGCCTAGTGGCAAGGAGCTGCAACTACAATCCCAGAGGCACACGGTTTGAATCCACCAGATGCGCTGCCGGGGAAGGAGGGACAATCTCCTCCTGTACCAGTCAGATCTGATTTGATGATACACTCACACAAAAATAATAAAATTTTAAAAAATTTTTTTTAAAAAAAAACTATCTCCCTGGCCAGGGGAAATGCTTTATCAGCCTGTGTAGAAGGGAGTGGGGGAGCAGATACCTGTGGGCTTTGTAGAAGAAAGGTCTGAATGAGGGGATCTCAGGGCCTGTGTGGATCCTATACTGGGCCGATGTGGACACAATGACCCAAGTGGACCCTGTGTGAGGCCTGTGTGGACCCCACATGGACCCCTGTGTGTGGACCATGTGGACCCCGCGTGTTAACCCCACATGTGGACCATGTGGACCCCGCGTGTGTACCCGGCGTGTGTACCATGTGGACTCCGGGTGTGGACCCTGCATGTGGACCCTGGGTGTGGACCCCGGGTGTGGACATGTGGACCCCAGGTGTGGATCATGTGAACCCAGTTTGTGGACCCCGCGTGTGTACCATGTGGACTCCGGGTGTGGACCATGTGGACCCTGCATGTGGACCCCGGGTGTGGATAATGTGAACCCAGTTTGTGGACCCTGCGTGTGGACCATGTGGACCCTGCATGTGGCCCCTGGGTGTGGCCCCCGGGTGTGGACACGTGGACCCCAGGTGTGGACCCTGCATGTGGCCCCCGGGTGTGGCCCCCGCGTGTCCGGTGGGCGATTTCCCCTCACCCGGCCGAACCACTCGCCCCTTCCTCCTCATCCTGCTGGCACTCCTCCTCCTCCTCCGTGGGGTCCTCATACTGCGGCGGCAGGTCCGGCTCCTTGGCCTCCGAGTGAGGCATGTCCACCTGTGAGCACAGCCAACACCGCAGCGGTGAGTCGGGAGGGGCCCGGCCGGCGCCCCCACCCCGCGCCCCGGGCAGCCCGTGGGACCCGCCGACCCTCCTCGCACGCGGGCCAAGCTGGGGGGCATCGCCAAGACGGGGTGCTGGAGGGGCCCTGGGGGGGCCCAGGGAAAGGCCTGCGGGGGCCAGGCCGAGGGGACGCGACGTGTGACAGACGCCCCGCAAGTCCTTAAAAAAAAATGAGAAAGGGGTGCGGTGCCTGGGCGTCGGAGCCTCTCCACGCTCCGACACACGCCATGTTTGCCACATCAGAGCTTTCACACGTTAGTCACACAGTCCGTCAGTCGGGATGCCATTGGTCAGGGAGGGAATCAGGGCGAAAAGGGGCAAAAGGCGGCCCCGATAATAGAACTCAAGCTGGAGCGACTTGGGGCTGCCAAAAATGCCTGGGATTGTGGTGGTTCACCACCAGAAGTACACCTGAAAGAAACAGGCACCACGTAAGCCCTGCGGCTCCATTTTCTCCTTTTCCCGCCTTCACACCGGCGCCCTTGTGAGCATGCGCAAGCACGCTATGCCCTCAGCACGCTGGGATCGCGTGCACAGGCCAGGAAACCGCCTCCCGGCCCCGCCCCCAGCAGGTGAGGCCCAGTGAGCGAGGCCAGGAGCCCGCCTTCCGGCCCCGCCCCCAGCGTGTGAGGCCCAGTGAGCGAGGCCAGGAGCCCGCCTTCCGGCCCCGCCCCCAGCGTGCGAGGCCCAGTGAGCGAGGCCAGGAGCCCGCCTTCCGGCCCCGCCCCCAGCAGGCGAGGCCCAGTGCACGAGGCCAGGAGCTCGCCTTCCGGCCCCGCCCCTCACAAGGTTTCCTTCTTTGTCGCTGGTCGTGGAAGTGACCGTTGGCCTGCGACATATGGTCACCCGTGGGAAGGAGGTGGTCTCTGCACACTTCGAAGGTCTTCAGGACCCCTTAGACCGACTCTTGCTTGAGTTGCAGGAGTCTGGTCAGCGTGCTTTCATCTACTCTGCTTCCGTGAAAAATACAGACCCATCCATCCCTAATTCCCACCATGGTGCCCTCAACATAGCATTTGTCACCTTGGCTCAGAATTACCTGTGCACCCCAAACTAGAAGCTTTTTGAAAGTGTGGCCTGATCTGGCTCTTAAGGGTTGAGTCCAGATCTCTTAATACGAAAATACTTTCTGTTAATGCAAAAATTACAACTTCTGAGTAATAAGGTAATAATACTTATTGGAAGAGCCACAGACAGAAGAAATAGCAAAAATGTATACAGAATTGAATGAATAAGGATAATATAAGAAAACTGGGTACCTTCCAGTTACAATGTTGGAGAGGAATATGGAGTATTCCATGGACTACCAAAAAGAACAAATAGGACTTGGACAAAGTAAAGCCGGGGTCCTCTTTAGAGGCAAGGATGGTGAAACTTTGTCTCATGTACTTTGAGCATGTTGTTGGGAGCCAGTCCCTGGAAAACACACTTGAAAAGGTGGAGGGTCAGCAAAAGAGACGAAGACCCTCGACAATATGACTGACCCAGTGACTAACAATGGGTTTACGTATATCAGAGATGAGGACGGCACAGGGCAGGGTACAGATACTGTTGATAGAGTCATTATGGGTCATGGTAGACTATGGGATTTAACTACAACATAATTTCAGAGACTGGTAAAATTTTCACCTTTCATGTGGGAGACCTTTCATGTTCAATTTTTCAGTGGAGGCTTACAGTGTTGCTCTGAGCTGAGCAAGTTTTAGCAAAGTTTCCAGATGTATGGATTAAGAGGAAAGGGCTAGTGATGTACATTTTAAAACCAGACAATGAAATCACTAGAGTTCACAATGGTTGAGTCTGCAACTAGTTGCTGGATTGACGCAGGGCCAGACATTATTCCAATTATTGTGGATAGAGTCACCATGAGTTGACAGCCAAAAAGAATTTACAAAGCATTCAAGCCACTCAGTAATACAATGTTGTTGTTGTTAAGTGTCATTGAGTTGTAGGCGACTCATAGCGACCTTATGAGCGGAAGTCCTGGACAGCTGTATAACTTTTGTCTTTTCTCCAGGTTCATAGGGTTTCCAGAGGCAAGCTATTTTGGGAGTGGATGCCACTCCTGCTTCCAAATTTGTTGTTTTTGTTTTGTTTTGTTTTTTCTCTTTATTGGCGTGTGTGGATGCTTTCCCAAGTTTGTTTTAGTTGGGGAGCTCCACCAAACACTATCCATCATGGGTAACCATTCTTGCATTTGACTCATCAATGTCACAATGTTTGGCTTCACAGCAACCACGAGTTACCTCTCTCTGTACAGCAAGTGGACATACCAGGGTTACACGACCTAGAAGAATGTTTCACCAAAAACAATAGCTCAAATAAAAGGCAGGCAAAGGGTTTGAATGCATGTCTGTTTCAGTGCATGAGCATCCTCAGCCTGTCTCATAAGGCTTGGTTGCAATAGGTGAGTGGAGACAGAAACAGAAGTAAAACAGGACAGGTTTGGCTAGAGGGTAAGGCATCTCTTAGGGATCTTTGTTTTTATTTTTAGCACTGACTGGGAAACCACAGCAAGGTAAGTTACAGCTCCTTTCTGGGACACCAGTCAGAATGTCACAAGGAGACAGTAATCCACCTCTGTTGAGGTGCCACCTTGCTTACTAGGCTCAATCTTAGTATGCTGTTGAACTACTTACAGCCCAGAATGGGTGCACAACTTAAAGAATGTAATCTGCACACCCAAAGTCTGGAGAAATTGGTTTTGAATCTTAACCTTTCATCAGTGAGGTACTGGAAGACCAGCATTGAGATTCTTCCCTTCAATTGCATTCCTTTCTCCACCAATGGGACTGAAAGGCTAAAATATCAGGCTTCAAAGAGAAGACATTTGCCACTAACACTATTACTCATTTGCCACTAACACTATTACTTTGTGTTACTGTATTGGTGAAGGATATTGATTATATGATGGACTTCCAGGAAAATGTACAAATCTGTCTTGGAAGAAATTACTAGACTGCTTAGAAGCCAGAAGGTAAGACTTCATCTCACATTGGACATGTCATCAGGAGCCATATCTAGAGAAGGACATCATACCTGGCTGGTCAGGAAAAAAGAGAAAGGCTCTCAATATGGGCTGACACATTGGCTCCGGTGGGCTCAAATATGGCAGTCATGTGAAGAATAATGCAGAACTGGGGAGTGCTTACTTCATTTGTAGATGAGGGTAGCTGTGAGTGGGAAGTGACTCAATAAAACCTAACATTAGTCTTTGTGGAGGAAGACTGCCACATCTTCCTCCCAGAGTGTCTGGTTTGAGCCACCAACTTTCCGTTAGCAGCCAACCATGTGACCATTGCACCGGATGGACACACATACACCCATACGAGAAAGCAAGAAACAATTCACAGAATCTTTATGTGGTTCCATTACAGGTTGTAAAAACACCAAAAATGAAATTATGTCTTGTTTAAGAAACTTAAGTATTGGAATAAAGCTACCTACCCTAGGAACTCTCATGGCTTAGTGGTTGGGAATTCTGCTGCCAACCTAAAAGCACAGGAGGTTCGAATCCACCAGCTGCACCAAGCAAGATGAGAAATTTCCTGTGTCATTTGTAATTCCAGAAGACAATCTGGTGGGTCAGCTATGAGTAGTTCCAATGTGATGATAAAAAAATAACATAAAATATAATTAAAATTAAAACCAAAATTCCACCTACCCTATAAAACAAACATCTCACATAAATTATAAACATTAAGTTCAGGAGAGAGGTAACCTCTAGGGGCAGGGAAAGACAAGCACACTAGCCTTGTCTGGGACTGCCAATGACAGATCAAAGTGAAGGTTCCAATATTATTAACAGTTCATATATGACTTAACTGGGGTTAGGGACGTGCAGAGTTCCAGGTGTTTTTAGCTCTTTATTCTCCAGCTGCCTTCTCCCATATGCTTTTCACCTTTTAAAATGTTTATTGCAGATTTGGTAGCTTCTCTTTGGTACACAGGGTCACAATGAGTCATGAGTAACTCAACAACACATAATAACTTTGGTGGGATGCCTGGTTTTCTGTTGGGTCACTTTTTCTTATTTGGAATACATAAATTCTAACATTGGATAAAATGGATTGACATAGTAACTAGGGTAATGGGGGTAGATGTGTTAGTGAGACTGGCTCAGGACAGGGAAGGATTCAGAGCTATTGTGCATAGGGTCGCTATGAGTTGCGGGCAACTTGATGGCCCAGAACAAGTTCTAACGTCAAGTACCAGTTAACTGTTTTAAGTATCTTCCCTCAATGTGACATGTTGGTCTTATTTTTCAATTTGTTTTATCCAGCTAGAAACCAAACCCATTGCTGTCCATTCAATCCCAACTCATTCAGGCATGAGAAGATTCCATAGCTTTCCAAGGCTGTAAATCTCTGTGGAAGCAGAATGCCACAGTTGGTTTGAACTACTGATCTTTTTGCAGGCAACTTTTTGATGTACTGGAGTTTGGAATTTTTAAACTTTTTATTGTGATTCATGCATGCTGCTGCTGTTAAGTGACCGTGGAGTATGACTCACAGCAACCGTGTGAACAACAGATCTACACCATATCCTGTCCTGTGCCATCCTTCTCATCTCTGGTATACTTACTCTCATTGCAGGAGCCACTCTGTCAATCCAGAGAAGGTCTTTTGCTTTCTCTGACCTTTACAAGCATGATGTCCTTTCCCAAGGAATAGCTTCTCCTAACATGCCCAAAGAATGTGAAACAGTTTCACCTCCCCTGTCTCTCAGGAGCACTCTGGCCTCACTTTCTTTAAGATAAATCTGCTTGTTCTTTTGGTAGTCCATGATGTAAGGTCTCCGAGGAAGGACAGAACCCTATTCAGGCCAAGACAGTTTACTGAGGAGAAACTGCCGGGTTGGCACTCAAGCAGAAGACCAGCGCTCACTAAAAGAGAGGGGTTTTATATTCTCTTACAAGGAACGTGGGAAAGGCGATGCTTACAGGTGTTTTCTACAAGATAAGGAAGTGGGCTGGGGTCTCAGATAAATATTTCTGAGAAAGCGTGTAGTTTTACATTCTTGACAAAGAAAAAGCACAGCTGCTACTTCCAGTGACTGGGTTCTTTTCAGTAGCCATTCTAGGAGAAGAAGGAAAGGGCTCTGTGGTTCTAATACATGGGACACTCAGCATTCTTCTCCAAAACCACAACTGAAAGGCATTGATCATTTTCCTTCTGTTATTCTTCACTGTCCAGTTCTCAAACGCATAGCAAGTGAATGAAAACAGACCATAGCTTAAATCAAGAGCACGTTAGTCTTTAAGTTGACATCATTGTTCTTCCATAGTTTTGAGAGGTCCCTTGATTTCCCCAGTGCAATATGTCTTTCTATTTATTCACTTTTTTCCCCTTGTGTACTGTCAAGTCTGATCCAACTGGCACAAGAAGAGATTGCCCCTCCTTTTCCAGCAGAGCATCTGATGGATTCAAACCACACTTCTTGTCACTAGGCTGCCAGAGCTTCCTTGTCTTTTAATTTTTTGACTACCAACAGTGTGTATTGTGGACCCAAGGAAGATTAAGTCAATGATAACTTTGGGATATTCTCCATCCATCATGCTGCCGATTGGCCCAGTGATGAGGATCTTTTTCCCCCTTTTTCTTTATTATTTTGTGTGTGCGCCGTCAAATCAGATCTGACTGGTACAGGAGGAGATTGCCCCTCCTTCTCCCGCAGAGCATCTGGCGGATTTGAACAGCATACTTCTGGGCTTGTAGTGCAGCTTCTTGCCACTAGGCCACCAGAGCTCCCTTGGATCTTTGTTTTGATGTTGAGGCGTATCACACACTGTAGTGATACAAGAGCTTCAACAGGAGTTGCAACAAGAGCTTCAAATCCTCCATTTCAGCAAGCGAGATGTGTTATCTGCATAACGAAGGTTAAGAGTCTTCGTCTGATCTTGATACCACATCCTTCTTCATAAGGTCTAGCTTCTCAAATGATTTGTTCAGCATATAGATTGAAAAGGTATGAAGAGAGGACAGAGCTCTGGCGCATGACTTTCTTGAATTTAACCATGCTGTGTTCCCTTGTTCTATGTGAACATCAGCTTCTCGGTCTTGGTATAGGTTTCATATATGCAAAATTAAGCATTTTGGAATTCCCTGTCTTCTCAATTCCAGACTCATGTATTTGTTTTTGTTATGTGCCATTGAGTCAGCTCTCTGAACAATGGCTCTGAATTTTGTCCTATCCTGTGCCAGCTTCACCATCTCAGACACATCTGATCCCATTGCCACAGTCACTTTGTCTATCCATCTCATCCAGAGTCTTCTGTGCTGACCCTCTTCACCCTTCCGTGATGTCCTTCTCTCAGCACTGGTCCCTCTTAGCAAACATACCCAAAGTATGTGAAATACAGCTTCAAAGTTCTTGCCTCCAAGAAGCAACCTGGTTACACCTTTTGTAGAACAGACATACTTGTTCTCTTCCAGTCCATGGTATGTTTAATTAATACTTTTCTCTAGAACAAGTCAAAGGCATTAATTCTTGTCATCTTTACTCACTGTGCAGCTCTCAGATGCATGGCAAGCAACTGGTCTGAATTAAGCGCACCTTAGTCTCTAAACTGACATCACTGCTGTTTAGCACTCTGGAGGGAAGGGACCCTTGACAGATTTTCCCAATGCAATTCATCTTTTGATTGCAAAATCATCTTTTGATTTCCTGCTGCTGATGCTAAGGGCGTTGACTGTGAACACAAGCAAGATAAAATCATTAACATCAATCCTTTCTCCACCTGTCATGATACTGTCTATTGGACCAGCTCATCCAGAAGGTGCCTTCAGTTGGAGGTCTACTCACCTGCAATTAACAACATTCAGAATTCACAAGGAAGTCATGCCAATTTAGTAAGACAATGACCCAACTAGAAAATTCAGCAAAAAATTTCAATGTGTGCATGCCAAGGACCTGGGGCAGGACCATACTCAATGCCTGAGATGGCCCAGGGTAATAAGTGAGTCAAGACCAGGGAATATTTATACTTTTCAAGTTCCCTAACCTCACAGAGGCCTCATAAATATACTGGGAACAAATCCACTTTTCATCCAAGCCATACACATTTCTCCTATCGATTTTAATCCCATTTTAACAGCACAATTCCCATTCCATTTGTGTCTCCCATTACTGTTTATCCTAACTGCCCTCTGAACGTCTTCCCCAGGCTGCCCTTTTGATCTTGTATGACTGTTCTAAGAAATCCCTCCTGGAGTTATGTGCCCCAAGTTGCTTGTGACTCATAGCAAATCTATGCAGCTCTGAACCCTGCTCTATTCTATGCCAACTTCATGGTCTCTGACACACCTACCCCCATTACCCTAGGGACTGAATCAATCCATCTCATCCAGGATCTTCCTCTTGCGCTGTCCCTCCACCCTCCCAAGCATGATGTCCTTTTCCAAGGGACTGGTCCATCCCTGCAACATGCCCAAAGTATGTCAGATGGAGCTTCAGAATCCTTGCCTCCAAGGAGCAGCCTGGTTTCACCATCTCAAGGCTGAACCTGTTTTTCTCCTAGCATGTCCACGTTAGTCAATACTGTTCTCCAGCACCACAGCTCAAAGGTATTGATTCTCCTTCTATCACCCATCACTGTCCAGCTTTCTGGGGAACAGTGAGTGGTGGCAAAGACCATGACCTGGATCAGGTGCACCTTACTCTCCAGACTGACACTGTTGCTCTTCTGTACTCTGGAGAGGTCCCTGACAGCACACTTACTCATCACCTTACAGGTTAACTGCTTGAACACTAAGGCAAGGGATGACGTTCTTAGTTTTAATGTCCATTTACCAATCTTTTTTAAAATAACATTTTATTGTTTTGGATGGTTTATACAGCAATTTCGGTTTCAACTTCTCCAATGCACATTCCTCACATAACACAACATCTCTTCTCGTTTCATACACATTTTTGTTATTTTTGTTCCTGGTAATTGATCTTCTAGCCATCTCTCATTGTACCCTTTACACTGTTGACCTTTATCTGTTCTTCACCTTCCCCATTTTTAAAAATTTTTATGACGCCACATTCTGTCCCCTCCCCCCATTTACACACTTGTCTGCTGTTAGCTCCCCAGCATCCAGGGTGGCAGCTCCCTGAGGGCAGGGAGGTGGCAGCTATCTCCTACAACAGTGTGGGCCTTCAGGAGATGCACCTCTGTGGCATGAAGTAACCTCTCCTTTGCACTATTCATTTAATCTGTATTAAAGATCTGAC